TTCATTAAAAGGAAATGAAGGGGAAAATATATATGAATCAAATCAAGTGTTCTCACTTTGCTAGAATAGTAAAGTGAAATGGAGTTTTATTCTGTTTGATTTATTTTATGTGACATCAGACATTTTTACATAAAATTTTATCAAGCTTACTTTAGTACTTTTATTTTTATTCTAAAACCAATACATGTTATTGAAAAATAGTTCTTACTAAGCTGAATATATTTAATGTTCTATTAAGAAATCTGCATCTCAAGGCTAGAGAGATGGTTCAATGGTTAAGAGCACTGCCTACTCTTACAAAGACCTGGGTTCATTTCCCAGCACCCAGATGGTGACTGATAACTCTCTGTAACTGCAGCTCTAGGGCATCCAACACCTTCTTCTTGCCTCTCCAGATATGCACCACACGGTGCACTTCCATACATGCAAGCAAAACCGTCATACAAATAAAAAAGAAGTCTATATGTCTATGAAGACATCTGCTTGAATGATTCTTAAATATTTGTCATGAGTAAATGCAGCACAGCAAAAATAGCTGCTTAACTCTCCTTTTCCCAGTTAGACCCTGCACTTTTCTACATATGTTCAGATGTGGTTTCATATTCCAATATGTGTTTTTTATGTCTAATCCAAAAGTGTGCATATTAACTGTATGCATACTGTTATCCCTACACATTTAGTAAGTTTAAGAGTAATGAATATAGTGAAAAAACATTCAGTTACAATGTAAAAATCCTTGGCTGTTAAAATGTCCTGTATTTTAAACCCCCCTTTACTCTTTTACTCTCTATTAAAGTAATAAGAACTGGATAGTAAAACATAAAAACTGCTTTTTAACTTAAAATTTTGGTTTATTGTAATGCATGTTAGGTTTTCAGCATTTTAAGTAGTTCATTGGGTTATCATTAGCATTATTTTAAAATTTTATATTTTTGAGTTTACTTGATAAAAATGTTAAAATGCCCAAATAATGTATTCAATAGTTATGCCATCCCTAAATAGGGAAAATAGCATTAGACAAATTCACTTTCCCATTTTTGGGGAGATTAGAAATCATTTCAAGATAGCATGACCTTAGTAATGAAGAATGAATTACCTGAGATTAATCCAGGTCATTAGCATATTGTTTATTTGATGCATATGACTTGAGAGAATCTACTTTATTACCAAAAATAGTTCTTCATGACACTCTTTATTGGTTACAAACTCCATAATGTTTGGCAGGCCATATGATACAGAAAATTGAGCAAAAGACTTGGAAAAGAAAAAAGGAGATAGTATACCTGTGTGCACACATTGTAACTCAAAGGAAAACCTGTAAAGTGTCACTCCTGGACAGATTATCTAGGGAGCATCTTAATTACTAGCTGTGTAGGTCAGAAGGATCTAGAGTTTAATACTTTATTTTTCTGTTTCTTCTTTCCAAAAGCAGTGTTTTTACTTAATTCTGTTTTTCTTTTCATTACTTTAATATCCTGGTAAAAGAGTAAATCCCATCTGCTTGTAAGTTTTTTAAGATCCAAGATATAAGAATGTATTTTTTTAAAAAATAAAGTATTATAAACAAAACAAATATTAAGACAATTATATGACCAAAACTGTTTGACCCATAAAGTATTAAGTAGTTGCTTTTACAATTAAAATTCACAGTTCAGTTCCATATGATATGTTTGAATGTGAACAAATACATATACACATATGTATATGTGTTTATACATACATTGTTACTTTCTAATAATTTAATGTAGTAATAAGATGCTATATTATATATCAGACTACCTTGTTCTTCTTGGATATGGCAATTATTAACTCTTACATTGTTTTCGTTTCTGATGTTAAATACTATACTGCCACCACTTTGTTACTCCATCACCTTTGGGTGATTATAGAGATACGTCTGCAAGAAGTGGCTGCTGAAAGTTATCATAGCTTTTCGCCATACTTAGTAATATCTTATATAGTTTTGTTACTGAGTTTAGACACTTTATAACAAGAAGACAATATAGTGTCTAGGGGTACATTTTTAAATTCCCAGATGACTCTGATGTTAATTTGGGGTTGTCTCCTACTAATTTAGAATTTGAGTAGTCTATAACTTATAATATTTAATTCTTAGTGGTACAGATGCTACCTAATCATATATAGCAGCAAGGAGGCATGAAGACATGGGTCAAAACCTGGGATAAAAGGCTTCACTAAAGGTTTAATACCTGAGCTAAAGCTTAGGGAATGATCTCTTAACATACTTAGTTGACAGAGAGAGAAGAGAATATGTCAGTCAGGACAAAGGTTAATGGCACACAATATGCAGGAATAGATTTGTTTTCATAAATTGCCAATAATCCTTGTGCTAAGTTAATTGTATTAATATGTCTGGAATGTAGACATTCTTGTATTGAGTGATTTCTAGGTACGAAACAATAGGACTAATTTAATCTGCAAACATTTATGAAATGTTTTTATGTTACAAAATTAATTTTATTTATTAATTTGTTCTAATAGGACAAGAAGAAGAAACCGAAAGACTAGGAGATATGGAGTTTTGGACACTAACATAGAAAACATGGAATTGACACCTTTAGAACAAGATGATGAGGATGATGACAACACATTGTTTGATGCCAATCATCCTAGAAGGTAAGTTTATTCAGTTATTTAATTCAGTGTGTCAGGAAGCAAAGCTTTGCCCAGAAAATTGAAATAGAGTGTCATTTTACAGTTACTATCGTAGTTGGTTTTATTCAGTTCTTGGGAATGTCATTCTTTTTCCCTTGCCACCAACAGCTCTCAGTCACATGACTCCTGAAGTATAAACAGCACATTAAATTCCCCCCAAAGAAAACTTTTTCATGGGTTTCTTTACAGTGTTTTATTTTCTTAATTTTTCATTCTTGTAGTATTGTCTGAACATGTATTTGTATATGTTTGTGTGTTGTAGATATTTAGTAGACTTCATTTTTACATTCTAAAGAAACTTTATGTTTTATGTAATTTACAAATAATACTTCTGGACAGAATTATAGGACTAGTTAGTGATTTGTGCTGTCATGGTATAGCTGTGATGTCTGTGTTCACATGTATTCTTATTGCATACTGAGGCCTTTTGTAATAGGTTTGAGTAAGCAAAATTTTAAGATATGTAGTTAGCTTCAGTGTAAATGAAATGGGAAGAGGCAGCAAGAAGTGTACCAGTTAGGAAGACTATGTAAGGAAAGAGATTTCTTGGGTGAAGGAAAATTAAAGTCTGCATTCCTGTATGAATCAAAAGGTACAAAATTCTTTAATTGACTAAATGTGTTCCTTGACAATCTGTTATCTGTGTATAACACATTATATTTACTTTCAAACGTCTCTCTTATCCCTCTCTGACACCTGTCATTTCCCATCCTCCATAAAAGTTCCTTTCCCAGATTCTTATCTTTTTGCTTTGTTGTGGATTCACTGAGTTTCAACTTAAAATATACTTTTATACTTTATATTTAACTTTTTTTATACATTGAATTTTTGTGCATTTCATATAATACATCTTGATCAAACCCCCTCCCCTATCTATACATCCCCCCACAGCCCCCCCACCAGATTTCATGCATTCTTTCATATATATTAAGGCCTATTGAGCCAAGTTTGTATTCCCAGATGTCTGTAGGTGTGAGTTCCATTCATCCACTTGAGCCTGGTCAATCTATCTAGTATCACTCCCCCTAAAGAAGATCAACTCTCCCTCACCTACCAGTGATCAAATGCCAATAGTTCCTCAGCTAAGGTTGGGACTTCCTACCCATTTCCCCACTTCTGTCCTGGGTATTTGCCTGGTTTGAGTTTGCATGGTCTTGTGCAAGCTGCCACTATTGTAAGTTTTTATAAGCAACTTCCCAGCTACCTGAAAAACTCTTGTTTCCTTGTGATCATCCACGAATCCTGGCTCTTACAGTCTTTCTGCCCCCTTTCCACAATGGGCCCTGGGCCCTGGGTGGCAAAGGTTTAGTATAGGAGTTCTATCTTGTCACGTTTTGATAAAGGTGCTGAAAAAGATAGAACATGAAGCATTGTAATTTTACTCAGCAATTATTCTTTAGGCTATGATAATTTACTTAAATATTTTTTAAACATAGGAAACATAAAATTGTCCTTTGAAGATTAGTCTCCAGAGGTTGGAGGTGGCCAGAGTAAAAAGAAAGATGAGTTAGATTGTGCAAATATAAGAGTAACTTTTACTATTTTAAAACATTGGAAGATATCAACATGATTTAGGAACTTGCTTTCAGGGCAGAGGAAAGACCACAACAATAAAAGGGATTTAGTGTGTTAAGGATCATCTTGATATTTTAGACAGTTGATATCAGAAATAAGAAAAAAAGAAGAGAAAATAAAGAACTCTGTTTACCTGTACTTCATCCATTTGTATATAATTGGATGATGTAGCTTCTTATTAAATACCACATACTGCTCTAGGCCTTTGGGATATATTAGAGAAAACAAAGAAACAAAAACATCATACCTACACTGGAGGAAATAAACTGTAACTTTATGAAGTATAGCTTCTAGTTATGGAGAGATAAGCCTAGAAGTTTGTTTTCACTTTACTTATCTGCTTGATGCTTGCTTAATCAAAGAGCATTATGTATTCATGATATTTTTATTGTGTGTGTGTGTGTGTGTGTGTGTGTGTGTGTGCATGGCAGTACAGACTCATTGTACCATGGTGCCCATTTGAAGATTAGAGGACAAACAGCTTTTGTTTAATTTTTTGTGTGTGTGTGTGAATTTTATACAATAAATCTTGATTGTATTTAGACCCTCCATAGCTCCACCACCACGACCACTACCGGTTTTCAAGCATTCTGTCATGTATATTAAGTCTTATTGAGCGAAATTTCTGCCTCCAAATATTTGTTCCTCAGTGTGAGCTCATCCACTGGAGCCTGGTCAACCTGTCTAGTGTCACTCCTTTAACGAAAACCAACTCTCCCTCACCGAGTTGTCATCAGTTGTCAATAGTTTCTCAGATAGGATTGGGACTTCTTACCCATTTCCCCACTTCTATGCTGTTTCTTTGTCTAGTTTAAATTTTCATGGGTCTTGTGTGTGCTGTCACCATCACTGTAAGTTCATATGAGTAACTTCCCAGCTGTGTGGAGAACTGTTTCCTTGTGGTCTCCCACCACCCATGAATTTTGGTCTCTGTGCTGCTTCTTCTACAATGGTTTCTGAGCCCTATGTGGCAGAGGTTTGATATGGGTGTCTTACCCAGGGACAGGCCCTCTGTAGCCTCTTATCACTGCACCTTGGCCGGTCATGGTTTTCTGGGTTAATCACCATCTGTTGTATGAGGGAGCTTTGGTGGCGAGAGATGAAAGATGAATTAGTATTCTTTCTACCTCCTGTTCTACTATGTTTCCTGAGCCTTATGTGTAGAGATCACATTGTATATACGGCACTTATGTCTGGGTATCTCTCAGATGTTTATTCTCTGTGGTTTACCAGTTGTGGAACTCTGTAGTAATCTCCATCTATTGTAAGAATATTGTAAGAATCTCCATCTATTGTTTTTTGGTGAGTGGTGAGAGGTACATTTGTATCTAAGGATTTGGAGCTAAGATCCACAAATGAGAGGAAACATATGTTGCTTGTTTTTCTGAGTCTTTTTTTTTTCATTTTTTTAATTATTGAGCTTTTTAAATTTCATACCTTTCTCAACATTTCCCAATTAAATTCCCAACCGAACCCCATGCATTTTGCCATACATGCTAAGTCCTATTCATTCGGGTGTTTGTCCTTCAGTTTAAATTTGTCCACTAGAGTCTAGTCAGCCCAATCAGTGGTTGCATGTGAATCATATTCTCTCTCACCCAGCAGCAATCAGTGTCAAATAGTTCTCAGTCTAGTGCTGGATCATCACCTATTTCTCACCCTCCTTTGGGCCCTTGTTTCATTAAGTTGACATGGGCCCCACACTCGACACCACCACTGCCACAGGCTCACATGAGCAAGCCTCCAGTGGCCTGTAAGTCTCCACCTCCCTGTGTTTATGAACCAGCCCTGTTTTACTTTGCTTACTATAAGAGCTTCTAGTTCTATCCATTTCCCTCAAATTTCATTATTTCATTTTTCATTACCACTAAATAGAAGTGCATTGTGTAAATATACCACATTTTCATTATCCCTCCATCAGCTGAGTGACATTTACGTTGTTTCCATTTCTCAGCTATTATGAAAAGAGCAGCAACAAACATGGCTGTGCAAGAATCTCTGCAGTAGGATGAGCTTATACCAAGGGCTGTTATAATCAGATCATATGGTAGATTTATTTTTAGCTTTTTAAAAGCTTTCTACACTAATTTCCACAGTGCTTACAGCAGTCTGCAATTCCACCATCAGTGAATGAGGGTTCCCTTTCCCCACATGTAGAGGACAGCTCTTGAGAATAAATCTGTCCTGCCACTGTGGGATCCAGGTATCTAACTCAAGTCCTCAGTCCCAGGAGTGAGGTCCTCTGTGAATGCAGCTATCTTACCAACCCATCATGATTAAGAAAAAAAGAAAATCTTGTGTGGAAATGATGTGAAACTTGTACAAAGTTTATAAGAATAGAACAAAAAAGATATTACCTAGATTTACCTACTCTTAGCAATTTATTTTGAATTTTAAAATATGAATACAAGCTGGGTATGGTGGCATATGCCTTTGATCCCAGCATTCTGGAGGCAGAGGGCAGAGGCAGGGAATTTCTGTGAGATTGAGGCAAGCTTGGGCTACAGGAAGACTGTCTTAAAAACCAAAAAACAGTACAGAAGTGGTCATGTTATTTCCTAATAAGTATGTTCCGCCTATGCATTACTAGCTGAAGATTGCATATGTCGTGATAGCTCGCAAGTGTGTCGTATCTGAGGACATGGCACTATCTGTCTTAAAGCCACTACAGAGTTTACATACCTGTTCAAGACATGGTTCAATTTCTCTTTCTAATATATTATATTTTTTTCCCTTTTGCTTTTTGTACTTTCTAAGAAGTGTTTCTGTCTTGCTGTTCTAGTTTGTTGTTGAGTTACTGAAGTATTTTGCACAAAGTAAATCTGTAAACTAGAAAAACACATATCAAATTTGTAACTGTTGTCTTTTTTACCTCCTTTGAACAGAAAAAACTGAAGAACAGAAACATTCGATCTCTGAAAAATAACTTCATTTTTCTCAAAACAAAAAAAAATGATTTGAGACAAAATGACAAATACTAATCTTAAAATTTCAAGTTTAAAACATAGCTCTGTAATAAAACCAACAAATGGAAGCAATATATTGTAGTTATTATGTTTGGCTTCTATTGAACAATAAAGTTATTATTATTTATAATAATGTATGCTAGAACGCATCTTTAAAATTATGGGAACAGCTTTTAAAAGTTAGCAGTTGTGTTATATCAATACTAGTGATTTCTGTTAAGTATGCAGTTTTAAAGCCCTGAATTTGCTTTTTCACTTTTACTCTGCCTCAATTAATATTATATATATTCATTACATTTTGTACCTAAAGTTATTTGTTCATAAAATACTGTCTGATTATTAATATCACCCTATCAAAATCAGAAAACAGCCTTGATTAGCACAGGCAAAAATTAAGATCTTATTTGGCTTGCTGTGTGG